GGTGCGCCCCGTTATCAGGAGGTTGAGGTGAGAGGATGCCTTGAGCCCAGGAGTCTGCAGTCTGGGCGACAAAGAGATACTATCTCTATTTTTTTTTTTTTAAGACAGAGCCTCAAGCTGTTGCCTTGGGTAGAGTGCTGTGGCATCACAGCTCATAGCAACCTCCAACTCCTGGGCTTAAGCGATCTTGCCCTCTGCCTCCCAAATAGCTGGGACTACAGGTGCCTGCCACAACGCCGGGCTTTTTTTTTGGTTGTAGTTGTCATTATTGTTTGGCAGGCCTGGGCTGGATTCAAACCTGCCAGCTCTGGTGTATGTGGCTGTTGCCTTAGTTGCTTGAGCTACAGGCACTGAGCCTATTTTTTTTTTTTTCGAGACAGAGTTTTATTCAGTCCCCCTGGGGTTGAGTGCCATGATGTTATGGCTCACAGCAACCTCTAACTCTTGGGCTCAAGGATCCTCTTGCTTCAGCTTCTGACTATAGGCACCTGCCACAATGCCTGGCTATTTTTAGAGACAGGGTCTCACTCTTGCTCAGGCTGGTCTCAAACTCTTAAGCTCAGGTGGTCTGCCCACCTTGGCCTCCCAGGTGGGCGTGAGCCACTGCGTCTAGCCTGAGACCATCTCTATTGAAAAGCTAGAGCAATTCCTCCTCTTCACTTGTTTTCTACTTATTTCAGGGGCCTTCCACTGTCCATGGTTAACCCAGTTAGCCCTGTGAAGTGACAATTCTGGCCCTTTTCCTTGATATCACAGTCCTTACTCCTGCCCTCTGGATCAAGTGCCACACAAGGAAAATCAGAAACACAGACAACTTCCCGAAGAGTGGTCAGCAACCATAGAAAGGTGCCTGGCCTGGGGCAGGGCCCAGCCACTTTCAGTGACAATAAAAAATGGGGTGAAAGGTTGGCTCAATCTGGGTCAGACCGTTCCTCCTTAGAGGCGCCCTGAGCAGATTCTGGGGCTGGCATTATCAGATGTTCATAGGGGAAGCAGGAAAGGCTGGAGTTGAAGAAAAAAGTGCATTATTCCCCTGCTGCCCCATGATCTATCCAGTGGGTTGGCCTGTGGTGGGGGGGGGGCTGGGACCCTGAGATGTGACAATTCAGGGCTGCAAGGCCTTTGGCCAAGGCTCCTCTACCTGGGAAAAGCATAAGATCTTTGGCGGTCTCTCAATGATGAAGATGAAGAGAGCCCAGGAAAGTAGCAGCAGGGGGTGACATGTAGGCTGTTCTTACTGACATTCCCATAGAGCACGCACTCACTCTAGCTCCCTCAGAGCCACACAGTTCAAAGACACTTATAGCTCCTATAAAAAAAGATGGACACTTTACATTTTTGGTATTTACCCGGATGGAGTTGAAACACATTCTTCTTAGTAAAGTATCACAAGAATGGAAAAGCAAGTACCCAATGTACTCAATACTAATATGAAGCCAGTGGAGAAATTAATACATGCCCACGTGAGAAAAACTCAATTCAATTCAAGTTGGAGGGAGGAGGGAGGGGGATTGGTATGCTCCACCTAATTGGCAGTATGTCCCATACCCAGGAGGTGTGCCATATACATAATTATATTGTATGTACAATATAAGGGTATATGGGACTACCACAGGGACTTTACCTAACAAATGCAAACATTGTAACCTAATCAGTTGTGCCCTCAAATTACTCTGAAATTAAAAAAGAAAGTGTTCAGTATATATATAAAAAAAAGAAACTGGGCAGCACCTGTGGGTAGGGTGCCAGCCCCATATACCGAGGGTGGCGGGTTCAAACCCAGCCCTGGCCAAACTGCAACAAAAAATAGCCCAGCATTGTGGTGGGTGCCTGTGGTCCCAGCTACTCTGGAGGCTGAGGCAGGAGAATCACCTAAGCCCAGGAGTTGGAGGTTGCTGGCATCACATAGCACTCTACCGAGGGCGATAAAGTGAGACTCTGTCTCTATTAAAAAAAAAACGAAAGAAAGAAACTTATGGCTCCTTGGTAAAGGCTCCTTTTGGGAAGCCACATAAAATTCAGAAGTTTGTGGATTTTCTTTATAACTTAGAAATGTATGATCATCGTGTCCTGTTAGTAGGGCAGTAGCTCTCCTTCCCTGCACAACATCTGAGTCAGGGGCACAAATAAATGTCTCATCTTTCCACCTGCCTCTCTTTCTGCTGTGACCCTGAAGGGGAAGAGAAGTGCCATGTGACATTAGGTTCACAGTCCTTCACCCCCTCCACACTGTCTGGCAGCATTAGCTCCTTGGGAGACCACTGAAGCAGAAACATATCTAGAAGCACTTGCATTGTCTTTCCCCATTGATGTTTTAAATGCCAGTCAATCACGATTGAAAGATGTACGGGGTACTCACGTGCAATTTGGACGCTGAGCCCAGACGTAACATACTCAAAAGCTGCACCTAATCTGGCCTGTCTTGCTTTCTCTCCAGGCTGGTCCGTGCCCCTTTTGTCTTCCCCTACTCCGCACTGCTGTCAATCCACTCTTACAGAGAAAGCTTCTCTCATGAATCTGTCACTCCTCTGCCTTCCACAATCCCTCTGGGGGCTCCAGATTCTTCTATCTTGGCCTGTCAAGTCCTCACTGAAGCCTTCTCCAGTTTCCCATGGTGGCCATTACTCCCTCTCTCTTCAGGGTGTCTTTAGGCTTTTGTTTAGACCAATTCCAAGCATTGACAGAGTTCCATCATAGGCATTTTAAATTGTTGGCCACTCTGGGGCAGACACCAGATTTTATCACCTTTTCACTAAACTGGGAGGAAACTCAAAACATGTTTGATGAATCAAGAAACATAGAAATTCTCTACAAATTTCTCCTAACAAAAAAGACGTCTAATGGATGTTCTTTTTTTAACTTTCTACCACGCAATTTCAAATGACACTGGGAAAAAATGTCTAGTGCTTTTTCCTTTTCGACACAATATGATACAATAATACAATGCCTAGGACTAAGTGCCAGCTATTTCTGTAGGTAGAAGGAAAGAATGACTCCCTAGGAGGAGATAAATACAGAAATAAAAAGAAGGACCAATGCAATGTAATCAGAATATGTATTTTTCTTAATCTTTGTGGGTAAATACCACCACCATGGTGGTACTGGCATTGAGAGCCCTGTGGATGAGAGGGAGGCTGCAGAGCGGTGTGCCATGCTAGCTCCATAAGCCAGGCTCTGGGACAGCATCTGAAATACTCTGTATTAGATACTGACCAGTGTCATGCACCACTGGTGAGGAGGAAGACAGAGTGCTTTTCCCAAAGGGCGAAGATCTCCCCAAATGATGACTCTTCTCAGGAGGCAGGAGCGCTTTCCCAGAATAACCTTTTTGCTCTTTGTTCAGCTGCTGCAGCAGATACTCATTAGTTACCACCAGGGATCTGTGGCCCAGAGGGAAAAAGCAGTCATGAAATCATAAAAGCAAAGACGATACCATTCTGATCTGAAATGTTTGCTAAAGGCAAATGTACAACAAAATAACATCTTTAAATAGAAAGAATTGTCCGATTTATGAGCAGGTTATTTTAAAGCAGACCTACATTTTCCTCATTACATTTCTGTTTGATTATGTTCCAGACTGACTGAAGCAATAATATATTTCACATTTTATATAGTGGTTGTTCTATTTTTTCCAAAGCGCTTTCATGATGCGGTAAGTGGAAGCCCTGGGTCACTGGCACCTGACTGGGCCTTCAATTTCTACCCCCAAATTGTAACTTCTATTTCTTCTCCTCTATCCTCCCTCAGCAGTGGACTAATGGTGCTAGTCATGACTATATCCTTGGACTCTGGATTACCATCTTATGTTAAAAGCCATTTGTACACCGGTTTTAAAAAATGATGTATACACAATGTTATTCATTAGAGTGCTGTATTTAACAGCAAAATGCTGTTAACCTAAATGTCTATCCATAGATTAATAAACTGTACAGCCATATAATGGCTGCTATACAAAGAAATGAGAACTCTATATACCATGCACTGATTTTCAAGATAAAATGTCAAAGAGAGACTATGCTTCTTTTTATGTCATAAAAGAGAATGCAGATATACACTCGCACCCACAATAGAAGGCCAGTGGGACGGGAAGGTAAAGATAGAGGAGACAGGAAAAGATGCTGGATTTTTCTGAATTTATCTTGTTTCATAGATTTGACTTTGGACTATGGAAATGTTTTACAATTATAAAAACAAGATTAAATTGAAATAAGAAAAAATTCCCTAAGAATCAAGAGCAAAATGAAGCAAATGAGCCTGTGTATCGAATTGATGGTTTTAACAACACGTAGAAAGATTATTTCAGGTCCATTTAAAATACAGTATTTTGATTGTACATTATTTAAGTAATATACACTTTGTTCTGAAAGTGTGATCTCCGGACCAGTAGGAACAGCTGTTGAAAACTTATTAGAAATGCAAATTCTCAGGCCAGTGTGGTGGCTCATGCCTGTAATCCTAGCACTCTGGGAAGATAAGGCAGAGGAATGCTTGAGCTTAGGAGTTTGAGACCAGCCTGAGCATGACCCAGACCATTTCTCTACTAAAAATAGAAAACTTAGCCGGGCAAGGTGGTGTACACCTGTAGTCCCAGCTTCTCAGGAGGCTGAGGCAGAAGGATTCATTGAGCCCAGGAGTTTGAGGTTGCAGTGAGCTAAGATGACATCACTGTACTCTACTTGTGGTGACAGAGCAAGACTGTCTCCAAAAAAGAAAAAGAAAGAAAAAATAATAAGAAATACAAATTCCCAGTTCCAACATAGACCTGCTGAATTAGAAATTCTTGGGTAGGGCCCAACAGTTGTTCAGGTAATTCTGGTTCATACTCAAGTTTGAGGACCATGTTATGCTGTTTCTTTACTTTTGTAACATTATCTGGGTCTAATCTTCTGATTATGAAGCTAATAAAATGAAAATCAGGAAGTGAAGTTTGAGGCTGAAGAGTTGGGGATGGGGTGCTTATATTTAAAATTCACTGGGCTGGGCAGAGTGGTTGATGCCTATAATTCCAACTACTTGGGAGGCTGAGGTAGGAGGATTGCTTAAGGTTGGGAGTTTGAGGCCAACATGAGCAACATAGTAGACCTCGTCTATTAAAAAAAAACAAAAACAAAACTTCATCAAAAATCCTAGTAAAGGCGGGCTAGCAAATTAGTAAGGGCTTCTCTAAACATACCAATAGCGTTGCGATCTCCTGATATTTTCCTAGCCTGTATCCTGAAGGGACTCTTCTTTGGAGAGGCTAATGCTACTGGGCACTGTGGGTAAATATCACCCCAGTGGTGAGACTGGCGTTGAGAACTCTTAACCTCTGAAGAGAAAACATACTTTGAATTCTTTCCCTGTCACTCTCTGTTGATTGCTTTTGAAGTGTCTTCTGTTACCAAAAGCAACATTTTCCAGAGGATTTAGATGATTGATTTGGGGGGAATATAGTGACCAAAAAAAGTTAACTGTGGTGGCTCACACCTGTAATCCTGGCACTCTGGGAGGCTACGGCAGGTGGATAGCTTGAGCTCATGAGTTCAAACCAGTCTGAGCAAAAGTGAGACCCCCACCTCTACTAAAATAGAAAAAAACTGAGCAAGAGGATGGCTTGAGCCCAAAAGTTGGAGGTTGCTGAGAGCTATGATGCCATAGCACTCTACCCAGGACAACAGCTTGAGACTCTGTCTTAAAAAAAAAGTTAGCTGACAAAGGTCCTATTAGATCCAGTGAGAAACTACTTATTGAGGTGTTACAATCCACCAATGTCAACAAGACATTTAGTCCCTGGTGTATCGTGGAAAGCAGTACTTTGATCCCTGAGCTAATTGGCCAGATACAGGAGGTTTACACACAGAAAGGAATGTATGGATATTAACTCTCCAAGCAAAACAAAAGAAATAAAGAGAAGTAAACATCTGCTTCCAGAAGACAGCTAGATAGACCCTCTCCTACCTCTGACTTTCGTGGAGAAGGGCAACTGTCTCCTCTAGCTTTTTCAGCTGGGTAAGCTCCTGGTTCAGACAAGCCACTTGCATGGTCAGCTGTTGGTTTTTTCGTAGAAGATCCTCTACAAAGAATACAGTAGCCAGGGTGAACAAGATTCCAAGCTGCTAGTCTTTGAGTAGCGCATAAGTATTTAGATCTTATTACATCTTGAGAACTGGGGCCCCAACTGCAACCACTCCACACTCCATTTGCCGTTCTTTCTCTCGGAGACAGAAGATATAGTAGCAAGAATATGGAGCGTGACAATAGATCAGAATTGAAATTTAACCACTCAGTATTGCACGTTAATTCATTCTTCTGATTTTCACTCGAGCTAATAACCCTGCCCCATAGCATTGTGAGGAGGATTCAGTTAGACACCTGTCCTCATTTCAATAGGCAGGCAGCAAACATCAGGTCTCTGTATTCTCCAATTTAGTTGTAAATGTATGCCCTTCACTTCCTATGTAATATGTAAAAACATCTAGAACTGTGTCAGGCACACAGTAATCATTTAATGAGTACTTGCAGAGACTGAATTTGTGGCCAAACACTCATACCCAGATCCCCAAGTGTGCTACTATTGCCTGCAATAATAAAGTAAGTAAAAGCACAGGAGACCGGGAGCAAAGGTTCATGCCTATAATCCTAGCACTCTGGGAGGCCAAGATGGGTAGATTGCCTGAGTTCACAGGCTCGAGACCAGCCTGAACCAGAGTGAGAGCCCCATCTCTAAAAATAGCCAGCCGTTGGCAGGCATCTGTAGTCCCAGCTACCTGGGTGGCTGAGACAAGAAAATCGCTTGAGCCCAAGAGTTTGAGATTGCTGTGAGCTATGATGCACTCTACAAAGGGCAACAAAAGGGAGACTCTGTCTCAGAAAAAAAAAAAAAACAAAACACAGGAACTCTGGTCCTAAGGGAATCAGTCTTCCAGAATAATGCTTCTTAAATTTCAATGTCATCTGAGCATCTTGCTAAAACTAGATTCTGATTCAGCAGGTTTGAGGTGAGGCCCAAGAACCTACATATTTAACAAGCTCTCAGGTGATGCTAATATGGATCATAGTTTGAGTAACAAGGTTCTTGATGGTAGAAGACTGGGCTGCAACAGCTGTATTTTTTCATTAGGAAGCCAAAATACTGTACTGGGCCACAGGGCTGATTGAAAGTAAGTACAGGGAGTCCCCAAGTTACAAACACCCAACTGACATATGTGTTACACTTATGAATGGAGGCGATTACAGTAATAGGTACTGTACTTGTTCTAACTTTCATACAAACTCAACTTAAGAATAAACCTACAGGTTAGGCACAGTGGCTCATGCCTGTAATTCTAGCACCCTGGGAGGCTGAGGCAGGAGTATCTTTTAAACTCAGGAGTTCAAGACCACCCTGAGCAAGAGCAAGACCTTGTCTCTGCCAAAAATAGGAAAAATTAGCCAGGCATTGTGGTGGATGCCTATAGTCCCGGTTACTCAGGAGGCTGAGGCAGGGGCATTGTGGGAACCCAGGAGTTTGAGGCTTCTGTGAACTAGGGTGGCACTATGGCACTCCAGCCTGAGCAACAGAGGGAGACTCTGTCTCGAAAAAATCCACAAAAGCAACAACAAAAAATCCCTACAGAATCTATCTTGTTTATAACTTAAGGACTGCCAATATCTAGGGGAAAAATACCTACTTTTATTTTCAGAGTAGGTAAGAGGAGACTGATACCTTGATTATTCAGATGTGTGAGTATCAGATAGTCCTGAGATTTAACAGTGGATATCTGAGGATGCCAAGAGGATGCCAAGAGACAAATGACCTCTAAGCAAGATGATTTACAGCTGAGGGGTGGACTCTCGAGTGACTTGTCCACAGGTGCTCCTTATGGAGAAGGAGCCCATGTCCTCAGCACGTAGTCATTGTTAATTGCTCCCCTAATCTGTATCATCCATTTCAATAAAAGGCTGGTGGGGAGGTTGCTCGGGGCTACCCAGAAAGTAAGGGCTAGCCCGCCTTCTATAAGCTTGTACTTCTAATCCACCTCTCACCTGGTTCCTTCCTGTGCTAACCGAGACCAGGGCCATAGGACCCCGATGGGTCGCAACAGATATCAGTGCTTTCAAATCAGAAAATTCCAGTTTGAGTTCCTTGTATAAATTTATACTCCTGTAATTTGCTTAGGGGAGCTGAACTAGTTTGTTGAGGGCAAACTTTAACTAAAATACTGGCCTAAACTATGCAGATAATAAAGTAGTATAAGTCGAGACTTAAATGGGATATTACTTTTCACTTATCACAATGGCAAAATTAAAAGAAAAAGATATCCAGGGTTGACAAGGGTGGAGTGAAAAGGGCATTCAAGTGCGCTGGTGATATGAGTGTAAATTGAAACAACTCTCTTGGGAGCCATTGTGTAACAAAAGCCTCAAAAATGTCCACATCCTTTGACTCATTAATTCTACTTCTAGGAATTTATCTTAGGAAAACAGTCTAAAGTATATACAAAGATTTATAGCAGCATTATTTATGATAGAATCAATATTAGGACTCTCAGGTCCAAAAGATGGGAAGAAAGATAATCTCAGAGAAGTATTTTCATTCTAAGGCCTTTTATTCCACTTCAAGTCTTTCTTCTGAGTGTTTGGAAATTCTCTAAAATAATTTCTATTTCATATGTTTTATTATATTTGTATAATCATTATATAAATACAACCAATAATAGCAGCTCTATTGGTAAAAGCAAACATTAGAAACCACTATATAGAGGACTAAACAGATAAATATGTTGTATTCATGTGATAGAAATCGTTATACCAGTGGTTCTCAAACTTCCTAATGCTGGGATGTATTTTCATTGTTACAAAGGGGTCACGACCCACAGGCTGAGAACTGTTGCATTATACGTTAAGCTAATAATATTAGGATGTAGAAATCAGGTGTGTGATTGCCCCAGGTGGACAGTGAGGAAAACTGCACATGAGCGTAAGGGAACTTTCTGGAGTAACAGAAATGTTCTGAATTTTGATTTTGATCAAACTTAAAATCTATCTTGTTGTATGTCAATTAATTTGCAAGGGTGCAATGGTACACACTTGTAATCCTAGCTCCTTGGGAGGCTAACATGGGAGGCTCTCATGAGCCTAGGAACTAGAGACTAGCATGGGCAATACAGCAAGACCCCCTCTCAAGAAAAAAGGTATTTTTTTGAAAAAAATCAGGACACTTTTAAATTTTGATCTAAAAATGTACACATAGAGGTAAGGTGTGAGAAAACACACCAAAAACACTAACAGAAGTTATTGCTAGGTCATGGAGTTATATTTTCCTTACAGTTTTCATACTTATTTTAAAGAACATTTTCTATTGCTATGATCACAAAAGCCAGTGCCATTCTCAAAAGTAATGGCAATAATAACATTTGTACATACTTGATGCTGACAAAGAGCTTCATCTAGTAACTCAAGCCACCTGCATTACAGTCTAAGAGGCAAGATGATTGTTTCATTAACTGCCAAGAAAAGTAATGACCAATGGATCAAAGGCAGCCATAGGACCCCCACACATGGCATTCCCAGACTTACCATAAGCAGGGGACTGGTGCCCACTCACAGCAGAGGTGGTAGCACCTTCCTCCAAATGCTGGATTTTTTCTGACAAAAGAAGGTTTTCCTCTAACACTCTGACCAGTTTTTGCTTCAAAGTGTCCTTTAGATCAGAAAACACAACACAAACACATTAAGAAACTGATATCCTGAGGAGTGCTTTTAGAGGACTGAAACAATCTTTTCTCGACTTAGTTTTAAACTGAACGGAAGTCAACTCTCTGACTGTCTTACTAGATTGTATTATTAGTTTGTTAGTAAACACAACTGAAGAGCAGTAAACAAATTGATCGCATGGAGTCACAGCCTTCCCTATGAGTTAACCACTACTCTTGCAGAACTGGGCATTTTGACAAATGGCCAGCTTTCTGAGTCATCTACCTGAAGTTTCTAGAACTGTCCTTCGTGTCTGAAAATTCTCTATGTTAGAAAGGGGGAAAAGGGCTAGGCGCAGTGGCTCACGCCTGTAATCTTAGCACTCTGGGAGGCCAAGGTGGGTGGATTGCTTGAGCTCAGAAGTTCAAGACTAGCCTGAGCAAGAGTGAGACCCCATCTCTACTAAAAATAGAAAAACTAGCAGGGCATAGTGGCACATGCCTGCAGTCCCAGCTACTCAGGAGGCTGAGGCAAGAGGATTTTGTGAGCCCAAGAGTTTGAGGTTGCTATGAGCTATGGTAATGCCACAGCACTCTATCCAGGGAAGACAGAGTGAGACTCTGTTTCAAAAAACAAAACAAAACAAAAAACAAGAATGGAGAAGCAAAAATCCAATGTACTCAATTCTAATATGAAGGCAATAGATGACCTAATACAAGTGGAGGGTAGGGGAATGAGGGATGGGGTAAGGGAGGAAGGAGGGTGCTGGAGGGTTATGGTGTATGGCACACCTCTTGGGACTTACCAAGAGGTAAAGAGGGACTTTACCTAACAACCACAATCAGTATAACCTAATTCTTTGTACCCTCAATGAATCCCAAATAATACAAAAAAAAAAAAAAAAAAGAAAAAGAAAATGTTTGTGACTTAAAAAAAAAGGGGGGGGAAGGGCTGGGTATGGTGGTTCACATCTGTAATCCTAGCACTTTGGAGGGCTGAGGCAGGAGGATTGCTTGAGCTCAAGAATCTGAGACCAGCCTGAGCAAGAGTGAGATCCCATCTCTACCAAAAATAGAAAAATTAGCTGGGCTACTCCTAGCTACAGAGGCTGAGGCAGGAGTTTGAGGTTACTGTGAGCCAGGCTGATACCATGACACTTTAGCTTGGGCAACAGAGTGAGACTGTCTCAAAAAAAGAAAAAAAAGAAAAGGAAGAAAGAAAAGAAAAGGGAAAAAAAGCTTGGTCATCCTCTCCCAGACACTCCAGAATGGCCCCGACCCCTTATTCAGGGCTCTCACCTCCCTCAGAAGGGAGGAAAGACAACCCCAGACATATTCGCCTTCCCTCACTGGGACCAAATCACAACCTTCACAAACATGATCTTAAATATTTTCACTCCAAGGCTTTTTTGATTTTTAAAATCTGTTTGTTTCTTCCCATTTCAAATCTTTCTTTAGAATTTTTGGACATGGGTTGGGATGAGGAACCTCCAAGTTGTCCCTGTCCTGGCAAGTTTTGTGTTCCTACTTTGCCCTGACTTTCATATTTTGGTCAGCTGTTCACGGTGATGCTGATCTTTAGGGCACAGAGCTGTTCTAGTCCTGCTGCTCTGTCATTTTGTAGGAAAGGAGGACAGATGAGAGAGGCATACCATGTCATTAGGGACCAACTGCCCAGTCTCCTTCAGTTCAAGCTCCCTCCTGTGCAAGGCTTTGGCCATATCTTCAGGATATGAATGATTCCACTGCTGAGAAGGAGCCGGGACTACCAATGACAGAAGCAAATCTCGAGCAGGACCTGCCAAAAATTCAGGTTGGGGACACCCACCAATCTTAAAAGCTAAAGCACAGAATTCCTAGTCAATAATTACCAGCCCTGTAGAGCAAGCAGGGCGATCTAATATCTCCCTTTTGTAAGAATTTAGTATGTGACTTTAAGAGATGTTTTATGAAGGACAAAAAATTAGATCCCACATTAGATCCCTCTGTGGAAAAACAGCAGCAGCTCCCCTTAAGTATGCTGTTTCCTAGTCCAGTGGTTCTCAACTCTCCTAATGCTGTGGACATTTAATGCAATCAAAAGGGGTGGCGACCCACACACAGGTTGAGAACTGCTGCCCTAGTCACTGATTAGTGGCCCCAGGGGATGATTTCCTACAAAATGGGAGCAATAGGTTGTCATGGGAAGGAAAATAACAGGGCTAGGACTTCTGTGTGTGCCGAGGCAGGTGGATTGCTTGAGCTCAATAGTTCAAGACCAGCCTGAACAAGAATGAGACCCCATCTCTACTAAAAATAGAAAAACTAGCCAGGCTGTAGTGCCAGCTATTCAGGAGGCTGAGGCAAGAGGATTACTCAAGCCAAAGAATCTGAAGTTGCTGCGATCAGCTGAGACTCTGTCTCAAAAACCAAAAATAAATAAGCAAAACTGCTTTTCATCATGCTTCTAAAAAAGAACCCCTAAAGAGCCCAGGTCATTTCTGCGTTCGAGTATTCAAATCATAGCATTTCAACAATCATCTCAAAACTCTGATGATCAAACCCAATTTCTGTTGTATTCATTATTGGAACTTTCCCAAAGATCATAAAATCTTTTTATAATTATTAACATGACTGTTCTTGATATTACCAAAAACAAACAAAAAAATTCAAATAAGGAGCAAAACAATTGGTACTACACAGTTGGAAAGAGTGCTGATTTTTTTTTTTTTTTTGAGACATAGTCTCATTTTGTTGCCCTTGGTAGAGTGCTCTGGCATCATAGCTCACAGCAATCTCAAACTATTGGCCTCAAGTGATTCTTATGCCTCAGCCTCCCAAGTAGCTGGGACTATAGGTGCCCGCCACAATGCCTGGCTATATTTAGAGACGGGGGTCTCACTCTCGCTCAGGCTGGTCTTGAACCTGTGATCTCAGGCAATCCACCTGCTTTGGCCTCCCAGAGTGCTGGGATTATAGGCGTGAGCCCCCATACCTGGCCGAGAGTGCTGATTTAAAAAAAAATAAGGATATGGAAAAAATGCAGATTTGTTAATTATGGTGTTTCTAAGATGTTGTGGTGAGTGATCATGAAAAAGTTTTCCCTGAAGATTAAGGGGACCAAGTGGCTTTTAGCAGAACACAGAGCAGAAGCAAGGCCCAGCCCTCTTCAGGAACTGAGAATGCATTCACTCACCAAGGAACTTCTTGTTCAGGAGGAGGGACCCAGAGCCGCTCCAGTGCTTATCCACAAGCTCCAGGAGCTGTCTGAGGACAGTGGCCACATGGGGGGTTCTGGCCGAGATTGGGGGACTGTGGTTTCCAGGCAAACCATGCAAACTGCCCAGATCACTAGAGAGAGGCTCAAGAAAAAAAAAAAAAAGAAGAAGAACCAACCATTTGTCATTCTTACGCAATATGGGAAGTAAGAATCCAGATATTTAAAGTATTAACTTTAAAAAAAAGTAAAAGAGAATGACTTCATCTTTCATTTTGGATTTGAATAGCATATTATTTATGTCCCAGGCATACACAATAAGATATTCAAGGATAATTGCAAAGGTAACAGTAACTTCCACCATAATTTTCTGTAGGAATTTTCTTTTCTTTTTTTAGACAGAGTCTCATTTTATCACCCTCGATAAAGTGCTGTGGGCATCACAACTCACAGCAACCTCAAACTCTTGGACGCAACTGATTTTCTTAGCCTCCCAAGTAGCTGGGAATACAAGCAGGTACCTGCCATAACATCTGGATATTTTTAGAGACGGGGTCTTGCTCTTACTCAGGCTGGAAGGAATTTTCAAAAGGAAATAAAAAATATGTTGTTTGATAACTACATTTATGGTTAATATATTATGTTATATAATATGGAAAAATTGTAGAACATTAAAAATATATTATAAAGTAAAATGGAGTTATTTAATAAAAAATTATAACCACAGTAAGCTTATATTTAATGTACTAATATATAATAGACATAAATATCCAATATAACTTTTTTATTAATTTTTTTTGAGACAAGCTCTTCTTACTATGTTGACTAGGCTGGCCTCAAAGTTCTGGCAAGCAATCCTCCTGGTTCAGCCTCCTGACTAGCTGGGATTATGGATGCATGCCACTGTGCCCTGCTATAACATTTTAAATATTATATATTAAGTGTTATTGTTGGAACTCATACTGAGAAACTTTTTATTCAATAAGAATCATATATAGATACATTTGTATGATACCATTCACAATTGTTTTTATTCAGACCTATTGTAATATCGTATATAATTTATATCATGTAAACTTTATGTACAAATCTATCTACTGATCTTGTCTGCAGGGTGTCACAGACTTTAAGAAAGCTGATATACATTAAAAATAGCCAAATTATTTTTCAATTTTTGGTTCTTTTGCTATAAAAAAACTAGAGATGATTAATTAGATACTGTCTCAGATCTGACAACTGTGAAGCAGAACACCAAAGACTTGAGTTACACGGGGCCTGTAATCAATAGGGAAAGGCATTACAAATGGGATAAACATGTATTCAACAGATCTGTATTGAGCACTGATTGTGTGTCTTTAGAGTACTCTATAAGAGATGTGGACATTTGAAGAGGTAAAGATGAGGTCCTTTAAGAAGTTCACAACCCGACTGAGAAGAAAAGTCATAGGAAGTCCAGTTACACAGACCACTTGAGAGGAACTTATCAACGTGAAGATTCTGTCATTGGTTCTTCATGTATTATAATTGTGTCTCTATATGGAGCAACTTGCAGACTTACATATGCCTTTCAGAACTTTCATTTATCACAGTCTAGTTATGGTTGGGATAATTTTAATGAACGTTTTAATAATTTTGTTACTTCTCATGGGCTTTTATCAGCAAATTATGCCTTACAGCTTTTCTGCAACATACTTTTTCTTTTTTTCTGCAATATATTTTTCTTTTTTTTTTTTGAGACAGAGCCTCAAGCTATTCCCCTGGGTAGAGTGCTGTGGCATCACAGCTCACAGCAACCTCCAACTCCTGGGCTCAAGTGAGTCTCCTGCCTCCGCCTCCCAAGTAGCTGGGACCACAGGCGCCCACCACAATGCCTGGCTATTTTTTGGTTGCAGCCATCATTGTTGTTTGGTGGGCCTCGGCTAGATTAGAACCCACTACCTTAGGTATATGTGGCTGGCGCCTTAGCTACTTGAGCCACAGGCACCGAACCTGCAATATATTTTTCTAGACCGAGTCCTCCTTTGTTACCCTTGGTAGAGTCCATAGCCTTATACCTCACAGCAACCTCAAACTCTTGGGCTCAAACAATCCTTTTGCCTCAGTTTTCATTTTTAGTAGAGACGGGGTCTCACTCTTGCTCAGGCTGGTCTCAAACTTGTGAGCTCAACCGACCCACCTGTGTGACTGTCCAGAGTTCTAGGATTACAAGCATGAGCCACCACACCTGCCCTCTATGATATTTTTGTTAATTTAAATTTTATGTATGTATGTATGTATATATTTAGAGATGGGGTCCCATTCTGTCATGCAGCCTGGAGTTCAGTGGTGCAATCATAGCACACTGTACCCTTGAATTCTTGGGCTCAAAGATCCTCCCAGGTCGGTCTCCCAAGGTGCTGGGGTTACATGCATGAGTCTTTACACCCAGCCTCATTAATTTGTACACTTTGTTTATGCCTCTAAAGTCTGTTGGTCAAAATAAAGTTTAGAATCACGAAGTCATATATAGCTTAACTTTGTGCATCATGGGATTATGTTTTATAACTTTTAAAATACTCCTTTCTTTTTAGCCATTTTCTGACATAACACCTTTCAGAAATTGCATCTTTCTCATAAGTTTATATTCAAGCAGATATTTTAAAGAAAGACAATGTCTAACAGGAAAAAAGAAATAGTCTAGAAAAACACATTGAGATTTTAACAATCTGACATGAAATAGAGGTGAAACAAGTTTCCTAAACTATCTTATTAATATAATATTCCAAATATCCTAAGCCTTGCTATACCTTCACCCTAAATACATTAACACATAGTTCTAATAGGTATAGAAGTCCAGGCATGGTGGCGCATGTCTGTAACCTTAGCCCTTTGGGAGGCTAAGGTGGGAAGATTGTTCAAGCTCAGGAGTTTCAGACCAGCCTAGGTGAGAGCAAGACCTGTTTTTACAAAACAAAAAAAATGAAGAAGAAGAAGAAAAGAAAAGAAAGAGAGGGAGTGAGAGAGAGAGAGAGAGAGAGAGAGAGAGAAGAGAGGAGAGAAAGAGAGAGAGAGAAAGAAAAAAGAAAGAAAAATTAGCCAGGTATAGTGGTGTGAGCCTGTAGTCCCAGCTATTTGGGAGGCTGAGGCAGGAGGATTGCTTAAGCACAGGAGTTTGAGGTTCCTGAGAGCTATGATGACTCAGCTGTACTCCAGCCCAGGCAACAGAGCAAGACTCTATCTGAAAACAAAAACAAACCCAAAAAACAAGGAAACAAAAAAATTAGGTACAGTGGCTGAGAATGAAAAAAGAAACCAAAAAGCTAAACAAAGTAATATTACAAGACTGCCCCCTTTGGTGCACAAAAATTATAACCACTCCAAAGTTCTGAAAATTGAATAGAAAGTATCTAAAGAATAATAATAATAATAATAAACCCACACAAACAATCCATGTTAATGCACCCCGACATGCAAATGTATTTCCAACAACTGAATAGTGACTAGAAATAGTTGTTTTGACCAAATTCCTTGCTTCCACACATAGCAGTAAATGAGTAACTGACAAATGGTTCATAGGATAAAGGATCTTGGGTCTAAAGAAAGAGAAGGCCCTGATGGCTGTGGTTCCTTTCACTGCAGAGAATAACGCTTTATGACTTAAGTAGGACCTGGAAAAAAATTAACATTCAAAAGAGAAGAACGGATAGCCAGCACAGTGGTTGTGCCTGGCTGTAGTCCCAGTTACAAGGGGAACTGAGGCTGGAGGATCACTAGAACCCAGGAATTGAGGCTGTAGTGAGCTATGATTATGCCACTCCACTCCTACCTGGGCAACAAAGTGAGACTCATCTTTAAAAAACAGAACAAAACAAGAGATGAGAGTGGGAGGCATTCTCCATGAGGAATGTATGCAAGGGCAGGGTGGAAAACTTATTATTAAGAACTGATAATAATAAAGTTTTATTATATAACACTATCATACTGTGATTTCATAAAGTGAATTATGAGTAGGTTTAGGAATGGTTCTCAGGTGGCGCCTGCGGCTCAGTGAGTAAGGCGCCGGCCCCATATACCAAGGGTGTCAGGTTCGAACCCAGCCCCAGTCAAACTGCAACAAAAAATAACCAGGCGTTGTGGTGAGTGCCTGTAGTCCCAGCTACTCGGGGGGCTGAGGCAAGAGAATCGCCTAAACCCAAGAGCTGGAGGTTGCTGTGAGCTGTGACAGTCCAGCACTCTATCAAGGGCGACAAAGTGAGACTGTCTCTAAAAAAAAAAAAAAAAAAAGCTAATTAAAAAATGAACAAAGTATAGGAATGGTTCTCAATTTTTTGTTCATCCAGTGAACTACTTTCAGCTAAAAATCCCCTGGATAACGCAATTCATCTTCTGCTTGCTGGTACTTTGGGGAAAAAATTCAGAATCAACTGAATTTCTAGACAGAAAAGGAAAACAATACTTTTGTAAGAACTATTTCAAGCTAGCCATCCATTTGTGGCTGAAGCAAATGTGTAAACATGATGAGATTATAAACATCAATGCTACAGAGACGAGTCTGCAGCAAATCCTGAGGCCCCTAGACCTCTTGCATTCCTTCCTGTTGGCAAACTCTTGTCTGCCATTTCTTATCAAAATACTTCCCCACTATGTTTATGCGCTGGAAGTAGATCAGGGACAGTTCTCTCTGCAACAGAAATGAGAAACTGGTGGTAGTGGGGAAGGACTTTCCCAAAGGCAGAAGAATCACAGGTGTTAGCCTGGCAGTATTAGCCACTGTCCTCTGAAAATCCCTTTGACTTTCTAGCACTGTTGATCAGAACCACCCCTGCCCCCACCCTCACCAGAATTGTTCTTAAACCCGATGTGTTTCTTGCACAAACACAAACAAGCTAACACTTGCCTCACTGCCTGCAGCATCTCTGGAACCATGCTTTGGATTCAGGCTGGCAAAGATATTGTCCTTCCGTTTGAATCCTCTCCTTGATGGGCTTAATGACCTTTTGGTCAAAATCTCTCTGTCTTCTGAAGTCCCAGGAGGCAACAGCAGTGTCCGCAGGGGAGCTGTCCTGTTTCCCAGGACAGAGTTGTTTGGGAAAGAACCGTGTGCTGGTATTAAATCCCCAAGGCTGGTGGATAATTGTTGCTCTACATTGACCAGCAGAGCAGGGTCACTGTTGAAATGGGTTGCGGCATACAGATCTGTGGAGGAAACAGACTGGGAGGTGAACCTGCCCTTCAACTCTCCCATGTCTCACTGCTATCCACACCTGGCCTGGAGTCCAACGGTCTTAATAACCACTCCCATATATAATCGCATACAATCTCAACTCTCTGGACCCTTTCTCTCTGACAAAATCCCAACTCTGGTTAAATCTAACTGTCCATGTGTGCCAAACCTATACCAGAGCAGTGGCACGTGGCTGGAGGACAGCATGCATCTCTTCTGAACCTCCTCACTTTAAACTCATGACCACGATCTTAACCAGGCCCTTAGTACTGCCCAGCTTTCTTACTACTCTAGTCAATTTACGCATCTGTCATCTGAGATGATTATTTCACATCTCTTTTCTCCAAACTTCCAACACTTTTTCCTCCTTCCTTACTCTCAGGTGCCAACCTCCTTATTTTTCTGAGAAAACAGGCCATCAAAGAAAACATCGATGTGATCCCACCACTAAATCTACCAACTCATCTGCATTTGTATCTATAAATTCTCTGCCTTCTTTCCTGATAAGACAGATAAACTCTGGCTTCTCTCAAAGGCCGACCTCTCCATTAGAGAACTGGACACCAGTTTTTATGATTTTGTGTTTTTTCTCTCAGGCATCATCAGTTTTCCCTCCACTGGATCATCTTCATCAGGATCACCCTGACACCTCCCCTCCACCCCCACCAGTTCTATTTCTCTGCTCCCCTTTACTGCAAAACTCCTTGAAGGGGTTGAATATATTCAGTAACTCTAATACCTCATTTCCAATTTTTTCTTGAACTCACCTCAATGAGGCTTTTATTGTCACACATCCCCTAAAGCTTTTCACTAATGCCTTCTGCTTTGCCAAATACCTCAGTCCTGGCTCACTCCTCAACAAGGAGCATTTGATGCATTATTGATCAGTCCCTCCTTCCCCAAACACGTTCTTTACTGGGCTTCCAGGACACCACTTCCTCTTGGCTTTTTCCCCTCCTGCATTGCCAGCTGCCTTTTTCTCACTCTTTATCCACTAGACTTTTTTTTTTTT